ACTCTATCTACATTTCTTCATTTTCATTTAGCTTGCTCCAGGCAACAAACATCTTTCCTACACCTGGCCCAAGATACACTTAACTGCTTCACATTCTTGTTCACTCCACTGAGTGGATGTATCATACATTATTCAACCACTTTCCCATATGTGGGCATTTAGGATGTCTTCAATATTTCAAAATTATAAAAATGCTACAGTAAATAGCCTTGTGGACGTTTAGACTCGTAACATTAGAGCTGTTTGAACAGGATAAATTCTAGAAATGGAATTGTTAGATTAAAAAGTAAATGAATATATAACTTTGTTAGAGATTGCCAAATTCACCTTCATAAGAATTGTAACAACCTGTATTTCCACCAGCAGAGTGTCTGTTTTTTCACGTTCTTGCCAACAGAATATGTTGCTCATCCAATAGGTGAAAAATGCTATCTTAGTATGGTTTTAATTCAATTTTCTCTCATAAATAAAGTTGAATTTTCCCCCCAAATCAACCACCGTAATGGTTAATTTTATGAGTTAAGTGGGTTAAGGGATGCCGAGATAGCTGGTAAAACAATTTTTCTGGGTGTGAGGGTATTTCCAAAATAGATTTGCATTTGAATCAGTAGACAGAATAAGAAAAATCAATCTTCATCTGTGTGGGCTGGCATCATCCAGTCCATTGGCCTTGGACTTGGAGTTACACCATTGGTCCCTTGGTTCTCATGCCTTCAGATTCAGACTGAATTACACCACTGGCTTTACTGGTATTTCAGCCATGCATGGCATTTAAATTTCTCAGCCTCCATAATTGCATGAGCCAATTCTCATAATAAATCTCCTCTTCTATATTTATATATATCTTATTGTTTCTGTTTCTGTGGAGAACCTGACTAATAGAAACATCAGTTTACATATTTTAAAATTAATCTTTTGTCAATTTTTCCTCTCTGGTATTTGGGCTTTCCCAATTGTGTAATATACTGACATTTATAAAGCAAATGTTTCTCATAGGCCCTAGTTTGCAAAGCCCTGTAGTCTCAGGTTTAGCCTAACTTTTTGGAATTACATATAGAAATGTTAACCTTGCAAAAGGCAGGAGACTTTCCCCAGGGTAAAGTCTCTGTTGTAGATATAGAATTGTAACACAGCAAAGTTGCTGGCTCAAGGACAGACAAGTTACTTGATTGATATGTAAAAATGCTGGGAAATTGCTGTAGGGAAAAACAATGTTTGCTAAGATCAAGCTTTTCTTGGTGGATCAACTTAACCTTTTGCTAATTGCATTATGGAATGTCACTTTATTTCACTGATGTTACCAGCCTCTACTGCGAAACTATAGCCATAACCCCACCTATGTTCTTTTTCTCTAACTTCCTGGTCTGGAGAATAGATGCAGGGAGAGAAACCTAGTTTGTGGTTAATTTCCCAAAGAAGGAATGCCTCTCTCTTGAGGGTTCCAGGAAATTGACCCCTTCAGGGTCTCTCACTGCTCAGAAGAAATGGGTTCTGAGTAATCCTTTTTGCATCTTTGTCATCCCGTGTGAGGCAAAAGCAACACCCAATACTCTGTGTTTTGATTGAATTTATTATTTTCACACTTACTGTGATTGCTGATATATTTGAATGTATTCTTTCCAAATATTGCTTACTATGCATTTCAATTTTATGCTGCTTCCTATTTCTCTCTTTTACCCATGCTAGAACTTGATTGTTACTTTTCTTTCTTGTAATCTTTTTCCTGCTTTCCATCTTAATTTGGCATTTATGTTACATAGCTCAGTCTATTTTCCCAACAGCAATATTGATATATCAAAATAACACAGCAACCTAGCTTACTTTGGTTTGGGATAATTTCCCTTCTTTGGCTCATAGTTTGCCTCTTCAGCCCATAAACATGTTAAGTTATTGGTGTTTCTCAAGTAATAAAAGTTCACCTAGAGTTCCATTTAGTAGTTTCTACTCTTGTGGACAATCATAAACTCCCAGCAACCTTATGACTGGCTTAAAAAAATATCTGCTCCAGAATCTTACAAGTACCACCTGGAGGTCCTTTCCCAATGGAAGATCCAAAGGCTTTGGTGATATGTCCTCTCAGGGAACCATGAAATTCTTATATTTACAATGGTCTGGATGAGAGGTGGGCTTTGGTGATCAATCCCTGGTTCTTTGGTTATCCCCAAAGGTGACAAAATTAATAAATTCTCACTCTTGTGAGTGAGAAAGTTGGGCTTGACATAAAGCCACCACCTTTCCACAGTGCCCTTATAATTACTCTAAAACTGTATTCTTTTTTTTTTTTTTTTCCTTTTTGTCCTTTTTCGTGACCGGCAATGGATCGCAACCCTCAGTGTCGTGCCCGTACCGGACCGGGACCGGCAACGGGATCGCAACCCTCAGTGTTGCGCCTGCACCTCACTCAGCCAGTGAGCGGCCGGTCTGTACGTGGGATCCGAACCCTCGGCGGGAGCGCCGCCGCACTCCCAAGCGGCGCACTGTAGCAGTGCGCCACCGGGCCGGCCCTAAAACTGTATTCTAAGTGTGAATCTTCATTTAACTTTAAATCCAAAAAGAATACCTGTACATGAAAAATGAACTGGACATTATCTTTCATAGGAAATTAATTTGACATGAACTGTAATTGGAGATAATTTACATTATTATATGGTATTTCATTAAGACATGTTATGCTTAAAATAAAAGAAAAATGGGCAAGGATAAATGAAAGGATGGATACTGCAAGATCATTTGTGAAAGCAAATATTTAAGAATTAAATGACTGTTAGTAGGACATTAATGGGGTTAGTTAAATTATGACAAACCCATATGCTGAATATTTTATACTACACAGCATAAAAAGAATGATATAATAATACCGATTCCTATAATATTTTTAATATATCAGGCATTGTTCAGAGTGTTTTATGTACATTAACCCCATTAACCTTCATAACTACCCCACGAGGTTCATGTTATTTTCTCCATTTTACTGAAGAACAAGCTAAAATGCTGAGAGGTTAAGGAACTTACCAAATACTATACAGCCAGTAAGGAATGGATCTAGATCCATAGGTACTGCCATAGAAAAATAGCCATGATATTAAAAATCATGGTGCAAAGTGATATGTAAAGTATAATTCACATTTTTGTAAGAAACAAATGTGTGCTTATGTGTCTCCTTGTTTTTGTGAAAGGAAAAACATATCTAAATAGATATAAACCATACTACTACCTATACAGTCAGATTTGGGTGTCAGGGAGTTCTATTTTCTACCTGATATACTACTGTATGCTTTAAAAAATTTATTACAAATACATATATCATTTTTGCAGTTGATGATTTTAAAGAAATAAAAATTTAAATGAGGTGTCTGCCATAGTATAATATGAAAAAAGTTTCAAAAGTCATTTTCATACCTACATTGTAAATAGTCCCAAGCTAGTTCCAAACGTTTGTTTATATTGCTGGTCATTATAGTTATCTCACTATTTTGAAAGTATTATTTGCTATCGAAAATGATATGTTTGAGTATTTGACTTTCTTGGTAGTGAATTACCTTCTACATGTTGTTCCATTGGTTTGCTTTCTTTTTAAGTCCATTTTTCCCTCAGTCTTCTGTTACATCTACCCCCACCTTAGAATTTTCTCACTGGACAGAAACGAGTTTATGACTTCACCATCTGGATTTCAATTTCTAAAGTTTATTTAAGTCCACACGGGTGTTGCCAGGAATGCAAAGCTCTTTGCTTGCTCAGCTGAGACTATCTAAATTCGGGAGCTTTCTGGCCTAACCATTAGAATGAAAGGACAGAAATGCAAATGTCCTTACTGTAAACAGTTGACATTAAATAACATTATCCACTCAGGTGACACTCAATAAACATTATTTATGGCATCATTCTCAATTTCTTCCAGGAGGTTTTAGGAATTAATATTATGCATCTTGCCTTTACATAAAGTAATAATTTATGATAAATTAATTTCCATGGAAACTGCTATGGAGAAAAGTTTAATTTTGTACAGATATCATGAAATAAATCATATAGTGAATCCGAGATAAAAAAAAACTTTGAGAAACTTATTAGTAACTAAGTTTCAACAAAGTTAAAGCAGTGTCTATAAAATTTTTGTTATTGTTTTAATTAATAGAGATTTTTATTTTTTAGGAATAAACTATTTTTCCTAAAATATGTGTGTTGACTCAGAAGGATATAAGGATTTAAACAACTATTAATTGCTGTTTTCTACATACTATTTTTTTTTGTTGTGACTTGAGTATCAACCTTCAATCAGTTTTTTAATAAGCAAAGTGATATATCCATTGATTTGCTAGATTAAAAAGTCATAAACACAAATATAATAGAATATGCCTCATTTCCTTTGGAGTTTATGAATCTTCTTCGCACAATTCCCTGAAGGATGAGAGAAAAAAAATCAAGCTGTCTTTGATATGCAATATAAATAATTCCCCCAAGAAATCACAAGGCCTGTTTTTGTTTATTCTTGCTTTGAGTATGCAAATGTATTCCTTATCTGTACTTTAACATTATTCATAAACATCCATTGCATAAACCAGAAAATAGACTTATTTATAAATTAATTTTATCTTTTGTTGTTAGAATAAAGAAATATGGAATTTGAAATGAAAAGGGAGAAGGAAAATACAGACACTAAGTTTATCCGAACTAGAAGAATATCCATATCAGAAAAAGATCTTTTAAAAACCTGATATAAATATTAAAAATAAGGAATAATGAGTGTTCCTCAAATTATGCATCACACATAATATAAAATGCTGAAAAAATGGAAAATCATATTAAGTAATTGATATTTTCCTGAAATACACTAACGTCTTCTTTTCTCTTATTCAGACAGATATATGTATATAGGGCCTTCACCCACTATTTTTACCTTAATGACCACATACTGATTGATTTTCTATTATATCAGCCTCAAGAAAAATAAGTAAGCCAGCTGCAATAAATGTTAAAAAAAAAAAAAAGACAGTGCTCCTTACCGACACATAGGACCATTCTTCTCTACGACACAAGTCCCACCGTTTTGGCAGTAACTTATTGGACACTCTAAAAAGAAGCATTACACAGACAACAGTTAATTATAAATATTATTAGGAGGAAGACATATCACTGTTAGTCATTGCATTAAATCTAACCTGTGAAAGTAAATTGCTTCCCACTTGCTGAAAGTGAAATTTTCCTAGGCCACTTTCCTGTACCCTGAAAAATCTGCCCAGTGCCCAAGTAATATGCAACAAAGACATTCTTCTGCAGTGTATCAGGTGCAATCTACCTATTTAGAATGTGTCTGCATGACATATTTGTGATTATACTGAAACTTTGTGTTTACTGAAACATTTATTTCCTTTAGTTCGGCTCCATAGTCACCATATTACAGCAGACAGATGCTTTGCATGGGTGGCCTGCCTTTTTGGTAAGTTACTAGTGTGCATGTATATGTCCTACCTCTGTGTCTCTGACAGACCTCAGCATGGCTCAACTTTGTCCCCCTTGCCCCTGGCCCTAGTTTAGCATGAGCATTTATTTTCAAAATGGTTTACTTGTAAGTTAAAAAGAAGCTACCTTCATACAATTACTACTGAAGGAGCTGTTAGTGCTTTTAACTCTTCATGGGTGCTTTTATTTATACTACCTGCTTGTATCCTCACTACACAATCCTGATAAACTAAGGACTGCCAATTTCCCATTTACTTAAGGCTGAAGTTGCTCTTCCTAGTTTTTTTTGAGAAAAAAATTATTATTTTTAATAGACATGTATTAATTATACATATTTATGGGATACAAAGTCATATTTCAATACACGTGTACAGTGTGTGATGATCAAATCAGAGTAATTAGCATACACATCACTGCAAAAATTTATCATTTTGTGATGAGAGCATTTAAGCTCCTCTCATCTAGCCAATTGAGAACACACAATAAATTATTGTTAATTATAGATGCCTTGCACTACTGTATATTACAAGAACTTATTTTTCCTATCTAACTGTAATTTTCATCCATTAACTAACCTCTTCCTGACCTCCTCCCCTTTCCCCTTCACAGTTCCTTGTTACCACAATTCTATAATCTACTTCTATAAGCTCCTAACTTTTTAAACACCTCTTTTCTTGCAAAATAGCCTTCCTTCCTTGCTGGACTATCTATAACTTTGATACTTGATGGAAATCCTTACTGTCTTTAATTTTTAATTCAACAAATCTATTCAGCACATCTATTAAACATCTGGCACCTGACTGGGCACTGGAAATGTAATAATGTGTAATACAGGCAGCTTAATATAGTTAAGGCTGTGGGTACTGGGGCCAGATTGCCCGAGTTGGAATTTCAGCTCAATTTATCAGCTGTGTACTATCAGGTAAGGTAGTTAATCTCTCTGTGCCTCAGGTTCCTCTCTGTGAAACAAAATTAAAAATAATAGCTCTCTCATAGGATTGTTGAGAATGTTAGAACAACCAGCTCCTAGTATGAAGTTAGTAAATGTTGATTTCAAAAAGATCCAGAGGTAAACACCTCAGTCAAATTTAGGAAGTAAGGAAGAGCTTTCTGGAAGAGAATCAGCAGCCATTTATTTGGGCAGAAGTATGTGTGCATGCAAGATAAGCATGAAGACCCTGAGGCCTGAGAAAAGGGTGCTGGGAGTTTGAGGAAGGAAACCCTGCCTGGTTGGATGGTTGACAATACAAAGAAAAAGTGAGGGAAGATCAGAGACACACAGGTCCCAGATTGCATAGGCTCAGTGAGGCCAGGATTTTAAGAAGGGATGTGTCATGCTTTATGCCTCAGAAAGAGAAGCCTGGCTGCAGTGTGCAAAGTCAACAGAAAGGCCAAGACTAAAATCTGGGAGCCCATTTAAGAGTTTTTTGTAATAATAATAATACAGGAAAAAATGGTGGTTGCCTGAAGGAAAGGAGAGGGACTGGGGCAAGGGGTTGAAAGACATGGGGATTTTAAGAGATATTTAAATATTAGAATCAAAACATCTTGGTGATTATTTAGAAGAGCCAAGGATGATGCTCAAATTTCTGGATGGGCCACTGGCTACTTGGAGGCTTCATTCACTGAGTTGGCAGATTCGTGGGGAAGGAAGATTTTTAAAGAAAATGATGCTATGTTTTAAGTGCATAAGGGATATTTGAATGGAAGTGTCCAGTGGGCAGTGGAATTTGCAGTTCTGAACCCCAGATGAAATATTGGATAGAGATACAGATTTGAGGCTTTCTTCTTCTGCCTTCTTAGATATCATCATTTTAGGCTGTCTCCTCAAGTCATTTTGGGATCATTGTGCCATGGGGTCACACAGATCTACGGTCTCTGTCTTTATGGGAGTAGACCAACCTCAACAGGCAGAGAGAAACCATACTCCTGGGTGGAGGAAAAATGATGATCATGATGGATAGTGAAAAAGTAAAGAGGAAAACCAGAAATTTTATGTAGGCAATATGCATTGAAATACAATATTGAAAGGATTGCTTGCAATAATAAATAGTTCAGCCAGTCACTGAACTTTAGGAAAGGGATGAGATGATAAAGGCATTAGGAAAGAGAAAAGCAGAGAAGGAGAGAAATTGCAGTGTGAGATTATCATGTGTCTGGTATCATTTTTGGTTTCAAAACTTTTGCTTTCCTAGGGATATATTTCCCATCTTGACCTTTCATAGTCCTCCTTACTTAACTAATTACAACAGGGGCTGAGATGTCAAAGGTAAGAGTAAAGAGCTACACCCCTCTGGCATGGGGGGCATGCTCAGCTGAACAGAACAGACATGAAATTTCCTTCATAAGCAAGAAACTAGCTGGTTTGACTGAAAATAGTCCACCAATATGATAGAGCACAAATTAGATATAAAACCTGTTAAATTGTTTTATGGACATTTTTGGTTTTAAGGACAACTTCAGTCTTCCTCAAATAAGGGTTTTGTTTTATTGAAAAACCAGCAGAGTGTCTGATACTGTAGAGCCTCAGAATACATACAGTACAGTACAGCTGCATGATTTTTCTGGGTCATTAATATTTACTTTGATTAGAGAGCGTAAGACATAGGCTTGTTTTATATCAGATGATTCTAAATCATTCTGTGGGAATCTATATATGCCTTCTCTTGTGCTGGATAGTGGAGCACAGTAAAGAAAACACAGATGTTGACTGGAACCAGAAGTGAATCTTGTCATTCTGGAGGACAGAAGATTTGTAGATTATATCTGTGAGAAGTTTTTATAAGCTTTTGTCTTAGGCCCAGGTTCTTTAACCTTATTATGTATGGACACACTACAAAGTATTTCCATCTTTAATTTCAAGCAGAGAGCAAATGAAATAGGGAAGGGGGTGGATATGACTAGGAAGAAATGAAGAGGCTGAGTATTCCCAATAGATAAATAAGTGGATAATTCCCTAGATGGGAACTAGGAGTCCTAGGGGTACAGCTTCTTTAGTCACAGTATTGTCCTCCCGGCTTGGACCATTCTGGGTTGGTTATTATGACCATGGGCTTGGAGGCTGATGTGACTTACAACTGATTACACAGAAATACCACTCTGGGAAGAATTCACATTCAATCCCACTCTGACGTATCACTTTAGACAGGTAGGCACACACATATGAAAACAAAAGTAAGTTTTAAGCTTAAATACAGAAAACGTGGAACTAGGCACCTATTTTTTTTTCTTTCTTTCTTAATGTATATAGAGACAGGGAAAGTGAAAGATGTCTCATGGTAGTCTGCCGGGAAGGCTGATAACTGCCTGAGTTCTGGTTTTCCCTCTGTGATACCTGGCTCAGTCATTTATGAGTTGTGTGACTTTGGGTTAGGCACTTTGAGTCCAAGGTTAAACTGGTCTAAAATAAGTATTATATTACTTCCTTATAGGACTGCTGGTAGAATGAATGTAAATTTATTTGTTACTTTTCTATGCTAATGAATGGTATTAAATAATTGTTATAAGTTATTAAATAATTCTTCTCATTCATCCCTTTACTTGGGGGAGGGAGTCTTTGAATGGCCTGTGAAACCTAATTTAATTACGATGGCTCTCTCCACCTTCACCTCCTTCTTTTCCTTTCTCCCCCTCTATCATTATAATCACCATCATCACTACCATTTGCTGAGGCCTGCTAGGTGTCAGGGACCGTCCTAAGAGTTTTACACAGGATACCTCACATGACCTTCATAACACTATGTGGTACAGACCATAATTATCCTCATTTTGCAGAGGAGGAAACAGGCTTCATGTGGTTAACATAGCTTCCTTGAATTCATAGTAAAGAAGCATCTGAACTAAAACTATATTCTGTTTATCTAACTCCAAAGCCTCTTAGTCTAAAATGTCAAATCATTTGTTATTTTTTGGTCCAGAATTTATATAACTGCTTACAGTTCTTGATATTATGGGCTTACAAACCCCTTTGAATCATGCTGAATTTATCCACTGTCACAGATAAATATGCATATACATAGTAATCTGCATATACTTTGAAGAGATGGATAAATTCTAGGAGTCCACCAAAAGATCTTCCACAGCAAACCGAGCCCTCAGTGGATAGAGAGTGTTTTCTTTATCTTAAAAGTGCAAGGGCTATAGAAGAGATTACCGTGTCTCAGAAACTTGAAATAGTTACATAATACTCCCTGAAAAGCTTCTGTGTTTTGTTTTTGATTGGTTTGTAAACCCTTCTGAAACTTATTTTTCCCTGACAAAAGAGGAATAATTTTATTTTATTTCATTTTATTTTTTTATTGAAATAACTGATTATCCATATTTGTGGGGTACAAAGTTGTATTTCAATAAATGTATACAGTGCGTGATGATCAAATTAGGGTAATTAGCATATTCCTCACCGCAAAATGTAATCATTTCTTTGTGATGTGGACATTTGATCTCCTCTTGAAACTTTATTAAGCTGTATCATCATTATTATCATCACTACACATTGCATGTATTAAATTATATTCATAATGTCCCATCCTACAGTTTTATAGTTTTAGTGTCTTCTCCTAATTCTTCAGATGGGTGATTACTATAATTATAGTATCCCTTAGCACAAGCTTTATTAACCTCTACTACTGCAAATGACTAAAAAAACACATTCAGTTTCAATTTAGCCAAATTCTGGACAATGATTTTTTGTTGCATTATTGACCAAAACTTGAAAATAATATGCCTTTCTAATTTAACTTAGGAATGAACAAGATTCCTTGATACTTAACCTGCAACACTTATGCAATGCCTGAGTTTAATGTTCTTGTTAATGACTTAAACCTTGAGGTATGTGAGGCCAAATGCTCACCATCTGTTGTGTGACCACTATGGGAATTATTGGATGCTGTAAGGATTAGGCTCATAAAAGTCTATAAAATGCTGAACTGAAAGGAATATGAAATTTGGAAAGAAAGACTGTGTAATGTACATTAACAAATCTTTAGCAGGGATCAGACTAAAAGGCTTTCTTAAAAACAGAAGCATCAACTTTATCATATTTAATGGACAAGCAGCCAAAAAGCATATAAAATGTAAATAAAGAACATTATATAATATATATTTTATCTGTGAATACTATGTTTTACTAGTTATTTATTTTACTCTATTCCAATAGCTATGTCAATATGAACTGTAAGTGAACTGTAAATGATTAGTGACTGACTAAAAGAGACAGGGCAATGAAAATGTGCTCTATGTTACATACAGACTGTCTATCACTCAGGATGAATAGCAAGTCTTCTGCTTTTATGACCCTATTTTTAAAGGTAGACCAAAGCAGGCAATAAATTATAACATGATACAATATATCTGTGCTCATATAATACCATCCTGTAAAAAAAAATCTCACTTTTATGTAAATAAATTTGGGTACTGAACATAAGTACTGTGCCTTAACAGTTTCAAAGAATGTAATTATCTCATTAATAGCTTTCTTCCTCTCTACAAAGAGTGTAACAGTATTCCCCTTTGGGTATCTTATCTGAAGTATAAGTATACTTAGTAGAGAAATAATACCAAAGAGTATTTATCTTTGCATATTTTATAGATCAGATCTGCTTATGTCTTCATTTCCTTCTGCACTCATAAAATTCAGTGCTGTGTGAGTAATCATTTCCAGCAAATAATGCTTTTTTGCACCATGATTTAATTATAATTATAATTCTCATGCTTTTGTCAATTGTCTCATAATGTTCTCCTATTTTGAAAGATACAAAGGGTATACTTTTACCTAGTTTTGATATAAAATATTTCCAATTTGTTTAGAAAATCTGATTGAATGTATCTTTTTTTTACTAATTTTTATTATCTTTTTGTTGTGATAGAATTAAATGCCCCTACTATTTATTATTTTATTTATCTCCTGCCTGAAATAAAAATCTGATTACTCAGAAGAGACATTAACAGTGGACACAATAAATTAGAGAATTTTAAAGTAGTTTTGATAAAAGCATAATCACAGATACACATTATCAGATCTTATATTGTATAAATGCTACAGGGTCAGAGGAAAAAATATTTAAAAGCCAATGTAAAGTTTAATAAATGTACTTCTAAACACATGACTAGATCATACAAATAGAAATTTCTTATAAACAACTGGGAAAAGTAAAATATTAAAAAAAAAAGAAAAAGAAGTGGGAAATAGAAGAGTACAATTTTTAAAAAATTAGTAATGTTAGATTGTATAGGGTTTCTTTTTTACAGAAAACAAGCAATTTTCATTGAAGAGATTATTAAATGCTAATATTTTTATATTATATTGAAATTACATGTTTGATTTTTCTTTATTTAGCAAACATTGTATGGAATGAGCATGAATATATTATATTATATATTTATAATTTTTACTAAAATGTAGCAATTAATGTCAACATTCTTCTAGCTCCCAAACCAACAATAGAAATTCAATTATTCCATACTTGTCATTATTTAGAATTTCAACTTTTATTATTTTTTATTGTCTGAAGGTTAAATGACTAGTGCATATTGCAAAGAAGATTTGAATGAAAATGAGTACCTGAGCAGGTGGATTCATCAAGTTGGAAATCCATGCAATCAACAAAACCATCACAGCGCTTGTGAGCTGGGATACAGCTGTCAGAGGAGGTGCAAGTCAGAGCTCCATTAGAACAGCTCTTGTTGGCTGAGAACAAGAATGACCATCATGGTTATAAGCATGTATTTTTTCTCAGTTGAATTTCTCATAATGAAATAGTAAGACAGTTTATTGTGTTACTCTTTATTTTTTCTAATCCTATATTTTAGAAGACAGTTCTTTCTGAAGAAAATTTCAACTTATTAACTTGAAAATTGCTGCAAAAAAAAAATTTTGCTGTGTCAGTAGAATCATTTCCCAGATGCGCATCCTTGTGGACTGAATGGCGTCTCCCCAAAATTCATGTGTTGAAGCCCTAATCATCAATGGGACTGTATTTGGAGATAGGGCCTTTAAGGAAGTAATTAAGGTTAAGCGAGGTCATTAGGATAAGGTTCTAATCCAATATGACTGATGTCCTCATAAGAAGAGAGACAGACACCAAGGATGTACATGCACAGAGGAAAGGCCATGTGAGGACACAGCAAGAAGGTAGCCTTCTAGAAGCCAAGGAGAGAGGCTTCAGGAGAAACCAAACCTGCCAAAGCCTTGATCTTGGACTTCCAGCCTCTAGAACCATGAGAAATTTAATATTTGTTGTTTAAGCCACCCAGTTTGTGTGTTTTGTTATTGCAGCCCTAGCAAAATAAAACATATATACTGTAGTATTATATATGTAATCAAATGCATTGCATGTCCTGTATAGAGTTGCAATTAATTTCAGATGAGGAGTCAACTTTTAATTCTAGGCAGATGTCTTTGTGCTCTGTTGCTCCCCTAATGGTCTCGATACTATGTGCAATTGAACTGACAGAAATTCATCAACTGGGGCATAATTCATGGGTGGTTACTGGGTACCTGCTAAACCTGAGTGATGATGATGTTGGTCACTGAAGCTCAATGTACTATGATCATGTGCCTTTGCAGCATTGTTATAATGCATCATGGAGGTATTTTAGTAATTACAGAGTCTGCTTGTTGGGGGCCACAAGTAGAGTTTGACCTAACTTCAAAGGACAAGCATATTGATAGGATAGAGATGTTACTGCTCATAAGACTTTGGTTGTTTTTTTTAAAAAAAATGTGTTTATTGATGCCCATCAAGAGCACTGACAACTGTTCAGTGGCAATCTTGTTCTGCAAAGGACTCTTCCTCCCTCAGATGTGACTCTTGATTGACTCAGTTATGTCCACTTTATCCCTTGGGAAGCTTGGATCTTAATCTTGAAACTGTATTCTTGCATTTTTCCTTCCTATTCTCCTTTAAGTGTAATGGGTTGTAAAAAATTGTTTGAGGTATCATAGGTTACTGATGCAACTTAGTGTTAAGAACTTCCCATCAGAATTTATTTTAAAGTAGGACATAAAAAATGGTGCTTTTAAGAACATGTATCTCCTTTGGCTGAAAGTACTGGCTCTGAAAAAATTAAGCAAACGCTTTATTGAGCAATCCTTCCAAAGGTTCTAGAATATCAATTCGTAAAAATAAATATTATTGAGCTTCCACTACATGTAAGACACCATGCTTAGCCCTTACAATGGATAGTGCCGGGGAGAGGGGATTTAAAAATTGAGTGACCATAATGTATACAACAGTGATAATAAGATCACAGTACCAGAGTGACTAACAGTTCAAAATAATAATGAAAGAAATTCTGTAAGGTCAGACTTAGTTGGCAAAACATTGGTAGAGACAAGTATTATAAACACAAGAATTCCTTTCCACAGGGAGATCTATAAAGGCTGAAAGTAAGAGTAGAGTCTTGAAATGTGTTTTAAATTTTAATGTTTCCAGAGAAAAGGTATTTAGGAAAGTGGAAATGAAGTCTATAGAGGGAGAATCAATAAGCTGGATATTAGAACAGTGAATAAAATGGTTTTCCTTTGACTGGGAAATTTGGGTAAGGAAGCAGTGCAGATGAACCTACAAAACAAGGCTGGAAACAGATTTTAGAAATGACTAAGGTCCCAGGAGAAAGATGATATTTAAGCTTTTCCAAAGGGTTTAATCACCATAGAATAAACATTGACAAGACAAATAGCATCGCAAACCAAGCAAAATAGGAAATAGAATAAACCTTCCACTCTTATAAGATGAAAAGATACTTGTAAAAAATGAGTATATATGTATATACATGTATCTATATATCAATGTATATATGTGTGTGTGTATATGTATACTTCTAAGTGCACACGCATTTTTTGTCATCACTCTTTTTCATTGCAAAGTGATAAGGGACCATATAAGATGATAGCTTTATGGTTTTAAACAATATTATATGTTGAAATGTGTATACAAAGTTGATAGATACTACCCATCTACTTGTAAAGCATATATTTTGAAACTTTCTTCTATTGGAAACACTTACTAATCCATCAATATTTCTTCACCTTATTCCAGTGTGACTGATTTTTCAAGTTGACTGCATAATAAAAAGTTCTAACTTGTAAGTCAAATAAGTCCAAAACTTTGGCACTAATAGCATTGAAATACAAAAAAGTATATATATATAAGAAAGGATATAAGAAAGGAAATGGCTTTAATTTATGAGTTTTTTAAAATAGAAAGTTAACAGGTAAATAAAAATAAACCTTTTAATTTATGAAATTTGAAAATAAAAAATTAGCTTCAGTGGCATTTTAAATAATATAACATTAAACTTACTGGATACATATCAGTTTCCTCTTAGAAGTAGATAGCAAATAAATTGTGAATGCAATTAATATTTATCATCATTCATAAAGCAAAGGAAATTTTATGACTGTAGGAAAATAAATTGAGCCAATTTCTTTCTATTCCTCCTTCTTTATTAATATATACAACAAAGAAAAATTCCAAAATTAGTTAAAATAATCTATATATAAAATTCATAAGAAACTCAGGTTTCAAAATGTTTTCATGGACAATATCTATGTTTTTGCCACATTCTTCTTCAAAAATTACGTTTTAATGTCTGTAAAAATATTCATTCCAATCTTTCATCATCCTAGTGGTTGACACTTTTTTACCAAAAATAGGCTAAATAACACAGAACATTTTGTGGCTTTTAGCTAATTCACTCAGGTAGATGATACATTAAAAATAAACAATTTATGAATAGTTCATCCGAGTTACTTCCTAAAAGCAAAATTCCTTTTCTAGATTATAGTTGCTGCCTAAGAAATACACACACAAGTAAAGCACATATAACTACAGGTATGTAACCATTTTCTATTAAAATGAACACTCATGTATACAGCTGATCAATATTTCTAACAGCAAAATAACTATAGTCTTGGGCCATGACAATGAAGGCTACAAGCCTTTCTGGGTATACACGTCTAACACAGAGTGGGATGGATATTTACTGTATCTTTGAATTAAATTCTACCACTACTCTTATTGAATTATCTTAGCAGTTTAAATAATTTTCCATAAGACTATAAAATAGTTTAATAGGGAAATAATAATAATAATACTATTAATAATAATGTATTATTTGTGTATTATGCACTTTATCATATTAATTTCATGTAATCCTCCAACACTTCTGTAAACAAACTTCATCACCATGATTTTAATGTTGAATAAACTGATGATCATTGTTGTTAAAAGGAAAGCTGACAAATGCAGAAGAATAATCTTTACATTATTACTGAAAAGCACTATAAGGTGCTGAGATCATAGCTAACCTATTTAAAAGCCAATAACAAAAATATTGATGATAAGGTTTACCCATAAATCTGAGGAACATAACCCATTCCAGATCACCAGAGGTGGCACTCAGCTTCACAGGACATGTTGACTACTGTTGCGAAGTAGGTAAACTGCCCCCTTGCTATCCATTTTTCACAGTTGCATCTATCATTGATGGATAGTTTCTATTTGCTTCTCCTGATCCATTCTCCATCTTCTCTTCCCACTCTGGGCCCTGAGAAGGTAAACTATAAGGATGCATGAACAAGTTTCTTTGACTTCTAGCATATGGTTGGTTTTGGCCCATGGGTAGTACCAGCAGCAGATTAATAGAGAGAGAAGAGGCTCTGTGAAGCGAGCTTGCACTATTTGCTTCTCTTAACAAAATGCCACACCTCTTATCAAGTTACCCTGTGTGACTCCAGGTTCAGGCAATTGTCTCCTCCTTTCACACCTTTTGGTCAGTATGTGATAAAAGCTCCCACCCACTCTTACTATTGCTTGTGGTTTTCCTATGCATACTATTTCTCTAATAAACAATGTCCTTATTAATATATTCTCAACATATGCAATATCAATGGGCTTTCCATTTCCTGCTAGGATATTGACTAATATGACATCTGATGAAATCTTGAAATTTTCTCTGGTGAATAGATTGCTGTCAGAGGAGTATTATTGAAAAGAGTGCTCCTTGTTTTGTGGTATCGTTCTATATAATTAACTGTGCTTAGTTTTACATTTCCTCTTTTTACAGAAAGGGGATATTTTTTGATAAAAAGTATGTTCTCAGTTTATAAGAAATTTACATGTTTCCAATGGAAAGACTATATTAAATGTGAATTATTTCAAAATGGTGAACTCATCACAGGTTTGTCTAAACATTCTGATCACTGACAAATTTGTCTGCATTAATAAAGGCTTTCAAATACCAATTGCTATTGTTTTCTCTGTCTACAACTTTAAACATCTCAGAATCCTTATTCCTATATTTGAACACATGCAACCCACTCAAAACAAACTATTCATTTATCCTACATCCCACTCCAATGACAACTTCTTGAAAAGTTGTCTACAGATGATTTTTCTCTTTGCCATTTCCAATTTGCTCTTCAAAAGGATTGGCTTCAGAACTCTGCCCTCCCACTCCACAGAAAGTTCTCGCTCCAGTATCACCTGAACGACATTTTGCTTTTCTCAATTTATGTTTTTTAGGCCTAGTCTTACTTGATCTGTCAGCAACATTCTGACCCATGAATACTCTCTGATACTTGAGGATTTCTACCTTTGATTTAAGATCATCGCTTTCTCTTTGCTGCCCTCCTATGTCTATGACCACATCTTCTCGGTGTCTTTCAATGTTTGCTTTTTCTTAACTGTCCTTCAGGTGTTCCTTGAGATTATGTTGGCCACATTACCGTTTTTCTCTCTCTTTGATCTCTTCTACACCCATGGCTTCAAACATCCTATGCTTGGGGCCATGTATCTTTATATATCTTGCTTCTCTCTCCTCTGAGCTCCAGATATGCATTTCCAAACACATTCTTAACATTTCCATGTGAATGGGTTGTAGGTACCACAAATACATATTAAAATGAAGCCATGATCTTCCCTTAAGATGTCCTCCTCCTCTTTTCCCCAGCTCAGGAAATAGCATATGAGCTGTCCTAATATCCAAAACAGAAACTCGGAAGTCATTCTTGAGTCCTTTCTCTTCTTCATCATCTGACTGTTCCTTAAATTATTTATAATCTTTACCTCACACCATTATCTAATCGATCTCTTTATATTTGAACCACAACATCTCCTAACCAGTCCCTCTTCCTCTTTCCAATTAATTTCATATCCAAGAGTATTTCAAAAAGTTTGCTGAAAAGTAGAATTAAAAGATAATACAAATCTTTCCATGAACTTTTTGAAGTTCCTTCGTACTACTTAAACACAGTTATTGGGGGACTCTTTAAGACCTGGTCCCTGATTATCTCTCTAAAATTTTTCTGCATTTCTCACCAAGAGCTCTATTCCAGTAACAAAAAATATACTTTGCTGAAATGACTTATTCTCTATTTCTGGAACATTCTTCCCTTGAATCAAGCATCTCCAATTTACTCCTCTAATGGCTACTTGTCTTTACAAATTAGGCTCTGCAATCACCTTTCTTGTTAAAATTTACAGGCTCCCTAGCACCACATGTACAGAGTACCCTGTGTGCTCTATAACACAGTGTGTTTATCTCTGTCATAGAACTTATCATACAGTAAGAGAGTACTTCAAAAATTTTATACAAAAATAGCATGAAAAGACAATATGAATCTTTCCATAAACTTTTTGGAGACCCTTCGTATTCCCGACTTTTGTTTACTAGTCTCCTTCAGTGATGTATAGTGGATCTATAGCCTGAGCTGGGACAGTGTCATATCCATGTGTGTCATCCATGTCCAATACAATGCGAAGAAGTATCAGTTAGGCTCAATAAAGGTTAGTGAATGAGTGAATGAATGAATGAAAGTTTACAAAGTACCATTCTGAATCAATGGGGGATCCCAGAAAAAGCTATTATACCTTCAAATGTTTGGTAAATTGTGATCATTGAGTGCTTTTAATTCTATACTTTTGCTCTAGCACTTTTTCCTTATTTTATTTGTAATGTGGGTTTATTTCCCTTTAGGGGCAGAACTTTATATGACTAACTAGTCAAACTCTAATTTTCCAATGAATGCCTAAAATTATAAGGACACAGTTCTTTCATAAGCTTCTCTTTAAACAGCATTCTTATTTGAAACCAAATACCATATGACTATATTGAACTTAATACGATTTCTAAATTGCATTAGAGCTGTGATGGGAACAGGGATAAGTAATTTGGCAGGCTTTCTCTTTTCCATTCACTTCCATTTGCTTACATTGCCTCTAAGAATATATTATAAGACATGACAAGTTGCCTTTATCACAAAGACAATATATATGTATAAAATAACAGGGAGATAAAAAGCTAATCCTTAAGCCTAAACCGGAAAAATAATTTCACCGATTAAAGGCTAAGGCCTTTAAACATCCAAAGGCCATCTCCCTTTTCTTTCATTCATGTTTACTTCTTTTCCAATAGTTATCATAAGTCAGGACGCCCACACTAATAGGACACTGAGATAGCCTTATATTTCTTTCAATCTTCCCATCTTACAGTCACATTCCAAACTGCTTTTTACTACTCAAAAAAAGTATGATCATTGACATATGGTTTATGGACCTTTATCACTATAGCCCTCACCAAACACTATAATATAGTATAATAAAATATAAATAAAAGCAAGCAAATAAATAATTAAATAAAATGTTAGTGGTATTGGACTTCACCATGATCATGTACTTACCTTAAGATGTGCATAATTATTTCTTAACTCACAGTCTTTCTTCCCAATCTGACATTAGATAGTTACAATAAAAATAGGAGTTGCTTAATGGAGGGATTGGGATTTTTCATGCATTTGCTCATGTCCTCATAACCTTGCAAGTTAGGTATTATTGACCTTATTACATGGATGATGAGACTGAAATTGGCAGCACTCAGATAACTTCCCCAAGACCACACAGATAGTAAGTAGGAAGAATGAGATTCAAACCTATGACCTCAGAATTAACCAGCTCATAAATTCTTAATGACATGACATCTACACAGGAAATTGTCCAGAACCAAATGCTAACTATATATATTCATTAAAATTAATATTTGTCTGTGGCCCTTTACTTGAGCCATTGTTGTGGACCTGTATATTGGGAAGAAATTATAATCAAACTTCTTCAAACCATTTCCATAACATGTTGTATTAGTCCATTTTCTGTCTCTCATAACAGAACGTGGAACTGGGCAATTTTTAAAGAAAATGAAATTTGCTTATCACAGTTTTGGAGTTTGGGAAGTCCAAGGTTTGGGGAACACATCTGGTGAGGGCCGCCTTCTTGGTGGGGAGGCCCATGGTGACCAGGATGTCACATGGCGAGAATGGCACAAGCAAGAGTGCTAACTTGCTCACTAGCAATTCTTATAAAGCCATCAGAACCACTCCCTGACATTGAACCACTAACCCTTAAATGGATTAATCCATTCACTAGGGCACAGTCCTCAAGTTCCAAACACCTATCAATTACGCCATCTGTCAGATACCATATTTGAATCTCCCCCGCTCTTAGCACTGTTACTATGAGTATCAAGTTTCCAACACATGAACTTCTGGACCCTTAAATGGATTAATCCATTCACTAGGGCACAGTCCTCAAGTTCCAAACACCTATCAATCACGCCATCTGTCAGATACCATATTTGAATCTCCCCCGCTCTTAGCACTGTTACTATGAGTATCAAGTTTCCAACACATGAACTTCTGCGGAACACATTCAAGCCCAGCAAATGTGTTAAAAAGATAACAATTGCATCAGGGCATCCCCCATATGAATGATCCCTACATAAATAGCAAAGGAAATAAGATAGGCTTAAAAGAAATTAGTGTGACCACAAATGAAGTGTTTCCAGAAATGCTAAACGAGGGCTACATGCTTTGTTTCACAACATAACACAAAAAAACTGTAATTGATGATACGATCATGGTAAGACTGTAGCGAACTTTGTTTTATCTGTCAAGTTCTATCTATTATTTTAAAATAGCATTTCTTCTCTGGCACACTAAGTTAGTGAAAATAACTCACAGCAGCCAGATTCATCTTCATTAAAGTGACAGTCGGGCACTCCATCACACAGCAGGAGGGATGGGAGACACTTGTCTGCAGAACACTGGAACTCCTTTTCACCACAGGGCTGAGGAGAGGGCTTGAGGGAACAATCCATTTCATCAGATCCGTCTACGCAATCTTCCTGTCCATTACACTTCCCAGAGAGAGGGACACACTGGAGTGTGTAGATACAAGAGAATTGGTCAGCGTCACAGGGTGATGGCTGTGCTCTGACAGGACCTAAGAAAGAGAGCAAATCAAGTTATTGCTCCACCCAGTGTTGTAACATTGAGGACACATTCATTCTTGTACAGAAATAGAACATTTCAATAATTTAAATAAATTAATGTCCAGTTAGGAATAATATGAGCCCTACAAAACATGCAAATGTGATTACAGATTCTGCCTTATCTTAATCTCAGAAACAACATTCTTAAAAAAGGCATGATTGACATGAAAACTGACACATTTAAACAAAAGAAGAAATTTTAATTCCCATGATGTACATTTGACCACTAAGTCAGGTTTTGCTTGAGAGTAAAGATATTTTTACAGTTAAAGCTTAAAGATACTTTTACTTTTAAAGTTTGAAGATACTTTTACAGTAAGTTAGGCACTTTGTAAAGGTACATTTCATAGTTTTAGAATTTAAGGGGATTGTTATTATATCAGCATATGGTTTACTAACTGTCAGCAGCCACCGCCTGGGGAATCTGCCTCCTGACACTTTGGCTACTGTTGAATCACAGAAGTTAATAAGGTCTGCTATGGTCTTAAGACACTGTGCTTTGCCCTT